AAGAGAGAGATGCTGGACTCAAGAAGTGGAAGGACAAAGCGCACAATGTAGCCTTTGCCGAGATGAAGCAGTTACATCTCAGGGATACCTTCCGTCCTAAGAAAATGGAAGAACTCAGCGAATGGAACGCAAGAGTATCCTAGAGACACACCTGTTCCTAAAGTTGAAAAGGAACAGGAAGATCAAAGGCCGAGCGGTTGCCGGAGGCCACAAACAGCGTGACTTCATCTCCAAGGAAAACGCAAGCTCGCCAACAGTGTCGACATAAGCAGTGCTACTCTCCTGCATAATCGACACTGAAGAGGAAAGGGATGTGGCAGTAATTGACATCCCGAATGCCTTCATTCAGACACGAGTCGAGGATAAAAAAGATATGGTAAGCATTAGAGTAAGAGGAGTAATAGTTGACATGCTGTGTGACATTGCCCCAGATGTCTACAAACCGTTCGTGAAAACGGATAAGAAAGGCAACAAGCAGTTGCTACTGTAATGCTTGAATGCCATCCACGGCACCATGGTAGCTAACCTACTATACTACCGTAAATTCCGGAAGACGATGCTCCAGAACGGATTTAAGATTAAATCCTTACGACCCATGTGCAGCCAACAGAATGGTACACAGCAAGCAACAGACAGTCTGCTGGCATGTAGACGACTGTAAGGTTAGCCACAAGGACTCGAAGGTTAGCGACCAGCTGATCCAAGTGCTTCGTGATGAATACGAAAGCATATTCTAGGACGGCACTGGAGAGAGATGACGGTGAGCCGTGGAAAGGTCCACACGTATGTCAGCATGACCATAGACTTCAACGACGAAGGGTCAAGGCAATGTATCAATGTACAAGTACTTTGATGAAATCCTGGAAGGCTTCGAGAAGGCATCGCCAGAGGAAGGGGGAACGAAGACTAGAAGTAGTGCAGCCCCGAAAGAATAATTCACATTAGACGAATACTGCAAGAAGCTCCCAAAGAGCAAGGCAGACACATTTCACAGCCTGGTGGCTAAGGTGTTATTCGCTACTAAGAGAGCCCGACCAGACACTAGAGTACGGCAATATCGTTTCACGACTAAGTCAAGGAAACCGGATAGGCAGAGATGGCCGGCGGAGGGGGGAGGCCGGCGGTGGGGGGCGCATAAACTAGTCCACCTCATGCAGTACATTAGGCGTACTAGAAAACATACCATTAGTTCTCAAAGCCGACGGAAGCGCATATTGAAATGGTATTTGATGGTTCTTTCGCAGTCCATCCAAACATGAGGGTCAACGGAGGTGGTTTGACCATGGGCACCGGTTACCCATTATCGACTTCGACGAAACAGAAGTTAACACGAGAAGCTCGACTGAGAGCGAAATCGTAGCAGTTGATGAACCTGATTCCATCGATCCATTTTGGACGAGGCCAGTTCTTACGGGAGCAAGGCTATGTAGTTAAAGAAATATAGTCTATTCAGGACAACAAGAGTGCATACTATCTAGAAAAGAATGGAAAATTCTAGTAGACAAGCGAACAAGACATCAACATTAGGTACTTATTTGTGAGCGACAGAGTCGAAAGAAGGAGATCGTGTGGACTGGTGTCAACTGATGATATGGTTGCGGACATCTGGACGAAGCCGAACCAAATCGACTGTTCAAACAGAATGTGGACAAGTTGATGGGTGTACGTGGAACCACTACAGAGCCAGGGCCACTCAGTAGGATGGTCACGGCCAGACAAGAAGGTCCGTTCATAAGAAGGAGCGCTAAGCAGGGTATAGTAAGTGAGCATGGTCGACGACTAGAGACAAGCTCGACGACCAAGGAGTGTGTTGGGGATTCGCGTTAGGGATTCAAGCCATGTACCTCGTACTAAATTTCACACCAGTAGAAAAACTGAGCCACCCACTTTTTCAGTAGTATCTCAATAGCAAGATAAATGGTAAACTAGAGAGCTTTGTGAATCTAACAAATGCAACTGAAATCTTCTCTAGCTAGAGCTCTACCGGGCTACTGGGTCTACATTAGAGTAGCCTGCTCTTCCAGATAGTATGAGCCATAACGTGTGATGGGTCTTTTAAAAACCCAGATCATTGTAATATTTCAAAGTCTCATTTTTCCCTTATTCCAATCGCAAAAAAAAAGTGATCTTCCCATAACCTACGTACAAATGTTCTGATCTTTTAAGGCTTTTAAGGCTTCCAGTGGTTCTCGGAACTCAGCTGGGAAGGTCATCTTGTAGGGCAGGGGGGGGCTTTGAGGAGGCTTTATCTTAAAGCTGTATGTGATTTTGTCTTCTTTGGGACATTTATGTGGTATGGGGAGCTTCTTTTCCCTATAGGCCAGACCCTAATTCACTTCACCCCTAAAACCACTATTCGTGTATCATCGACCATTGAGCGTGGCATCTTGGGAGTCACCATGGAAAGTGCCATGTCTTGGATAACGGTTCATCCATTCGACACCAGGACTTCTGGAATCCCTTCTAGTAGGGCCCAAAGGGCCGCGTTCTCACCACCATCTTCGTTCATTTTGAAGAAAGCGGTCTCATGGGTTGAGTCGTTCATCATTTTTACAGTGGGACGCTGGAAGTTCTCTGCTTTTAGGCGACCCGCAATGAGTTGTTTGTGAAAAACATAACCATCCCAGGAATATACCCAGAAATCGTTGCATCTGGGTAGTATCTCTGCATGATACTCTTTGGAGTTTTCCCCGTGGACAAAGTTGAAGTGATCCTTGATTGGTGAAGGCACAATATCTGGTTGGAATCCCCAGGTTGATAGTGCAAGTACAGTGGTATTCTTGATGTGCTTGGCCCACTGCACAGAGTCATCAAAGGCTTGATCGGCATTTTCCACTATGACAACATCCCCCTTCACATTGCTTCCAGTTGCAAGAAGGAACATCTGGTAATAGTTTGGTTGTTCAGAAATCTCGACGCAATCTAGTACCGGCTTTTTTTTTTGGCTTTGGTACGCCTCACTGACAATGCTGGTTTGCATCTTTTCATCGAATCTTTCTTGCAGTTGGGCCATCCTATATCTGAAATGAGTGCAGTTTGATTGTTCAGTAGCATGATCCAGGAAAACGAGAATTTGGTCAAAGTGAGGATTGTTGAGGTTATTCAGCATAGCTGCTTCTATTTCTTGGCGATGGAGATTTGTATTGTTATCCAATTGCACTGCCCAGAAGCTTGTGACAAGAGAGAGGGAAGTAGAAGTATCCAAGGAGAGAGGCGGTGCATCTGATATTGTGTTCTGGCTATGGAGACTCATCATCACTTCAGATCTGAAGGTGAGAGTCAACAGCAAAAGCGGTATACCAAGCATTAGGAAGTTCTGGTGCCTCCTTGGCGTGAGAGGAAATTGATGAGGACGGTACATGTTGCAACACCAACAAATAGAAAAGAACAAATGCCAGTAGGGCCAGCGTCAATGGAGAGATCAGGGCGGTAGAGATCAGGGCGGTAGAGATCAAGTGTGGTAGACATGGAGCTTAGCAATTGGTTCAGAAAGACTTTAAAAAATTAGAGCCTGTCCAGAAACGTATTTTTGGTCAAATTCAAAGGTCAAAACCGGAAGCTTAAATTTTTTTCAGTATGAATAACCAAGCAACTTTCCAGAGGTGCAGGGGAGGAAAGAAGCACACAAGCAATTTTGGAGAAGCATAAAAGCACACAAAAGGGCACCACGGAAATGACAAAGGAAGGAAAATGGATCCTAACAGAGAGACTCCCGACATACATAAGCCACAATTTCATAAGTACCACAGTAGTCAGAAAAGTGGCTTGCTGTGTCTGGGAATACGAGAGCCGGCCCGAGGACTTCGATGGCAAACGCAAGGTTGGCAGCGGGGATGACATTGAAATTGTTGGTTCCTAAAAATAATCACAAACAACAAAAACCTCATAAAAGAAATCGATCGAAAAAGATCGACCATGGCCGACGGCCGACCGCTGAACCAATACACTATCAATAGTAGCTCGCAAACACCAAACAGACAAGAAAACCAAGCTTATTAACACTGCCGGTCTCATTGGAGTCTCTCAGCAACAGCTGAAAGTCCTCTATTGGGCCGAACGGTCGTGATTGCTGCCATAGAAAATACCAGTCAAATGTTCCGTATAGATCCTGGTAAAGTTTCTACAGGAAAGTCATCTTCGAAAATTGCAACCACAACCAGCCAAATCCACCAACAACAACACGAAAGCTCTGCCAAGTCCACTCCTTTCCGACAAGACACTCGTTGCCACTACGAGAATCAGTTGTTGGGTTAAAACACTGTTGCTACTATTCTTATCAGGGTTATCTAGCTGATTCGGGCGAGCTGGGAAGAAAAAGTGATCTTCCAGCTTGGGTCAGGTTGAATCTGGATTTTGGAATGGCAGATTCCCCAAGCGCGCGACCCAGCCAAGCAGGGTGAAGAGTCAAGCCAGACGAGTCAAACCTACCAAAACCAAATATTCTATTTGAGTCTTACACTCCTTCTGTTGGACTCAACTAGCAAGGCTCACAACATCTCCATCTTGTCCACCAAGTCTTCCTCCTTGATTGAGCCTGAGTACTCACGCGGTTGGTTCATCTGGTCTTGATCAGCCTGAACAGCCATCCAACGAGATACTCAGGAAATTTCTCTTTGCGCCCCGCCTGTTCCCTCGCTCTTTTCCTCTCGCTCTTTCTCGCTCAACGCCGATCCTCTACGCCTCCACCATGGGCTCCTCC